CAAAAAAAAAAAAAAAAAAAAAAAAAAAAAAAAAAGCGGGGACTAAAATGTCTCTGGAAAAATCTTTTTTTTTTTTCTGAAAAATCTTTATCTGATTTAAGACAAAATGAGATCCTATTTCTATAAGTTGAGCATTATATTCTATGATCTGAAAGTTCTGAAACTGTAGGAGGACTGCTGTAACAGGCAGCCGAGTTAAATAGAAATATTACAGGCAGTCAGACAGGACCAGGCCCTTGAAGGAAATACCACAGAAGACAAGATATTTTGCAACACTGGAAGGGATGGATGCTCCTGCCATGGGCCAGACCTAAAGACCAGAGACCAAACAAATGCTGACCTTCTTAAAGACTGGCATCCGAGATTGATCATCACACTGAGGGAGCCAGAAGAATCATTAATCTGACTACTACTGGATGGCTACCTGATAAAAGTCCTGTTCTACATTCACGCCCGCTTGCTATGTGATTCGCTTCCTCATTTGGTCCTGAACTTAGTTTTACCTGAGCAATGGTGCTTGTAATCTCATTGGTTGACTATAGTTTTGTCCCACCCCACATCCACCTAAGCGAGTTCCCATGTTCTCCACCATCTTAAACCCACCTCACCACATGATTGTACTCTATAAAAGTCCTTGGAAGAGACAGCTTCCAGGGGAACTACCTGCTTTCTCTCCCCCTCTCCCCAACTGTCCCTCTCTCGGATAGAAGCTTTCTTTCCCTCAGTAAAGACATTCTGCTCATAACCATTTATTTCTAAAATTCATTCTTTGGTTTTAGAGAACACAAACTCATGCAGGTCAGGTTGGCAGATCATTTTTCTTATGTCATTTGGAGGTTCCCTATATTGTTTGGAGGTCACCCACCCAAGATCAGTTTTTCTCCCTGTATCAAAATCATATTTTATTATCCAAAATGGTGAAAGTAAATACATGGTCCACAAATGGCTGGCTTTTGGGATGTATCAGGGTGTCTGAATTAAGAGTTCTTTTAAAACATAATGTGGAAATTTATCAAAAGCAGGGCCAAAGCCAGGCCTGGTGGTGTATACCTATCATCCCAGCATTCAGGAGGCTGAGGTAGGAGGATTGCTGAAAGTTCAAGGTCAGCCTGGGCTACAAAGTGAGTTTAAGGCCACCATGAACATAGTGAAACCCTATCTTAAAAGAGAAACAAAACAAAACAAAGCAAAGTCAAAAAGTAGTTGAGAATCTTCCAAATAGTTTCTAGTCATCTTTAGATGACTTCAGCTAGGGTATGAATATTTTGAACAAAGAATTTGGCAGAGGACCCATGAGGTGAATTTGAAAGGTATATAAAAAGATTTTGTTTTCTCTTAGCTTCAATATAGATGAATTTATTGCACTTTTTCATTTCACAGACCTCATTAATCATAAATAATTTATGATTCACTTTATATCTGCTTTAGAATGGCACATCAACATTCTCAAGACTTTCATTAAGGGCCGGTCAAACAGCTCAGTGAATTGCTGGGGATTCAATCTCTGGGCCTGCTGTGCCAGCCCCGACTCCGGGGCATGCTGAGACTACAATTGAGACTGAGTTTGGTGGTGTGCACCTGTAATCCCACCTCTTGAGAGGATGTAAACAGGCGGATCACCATGGGTCTGATCTAGTAGTGAAACCCTGAACACTCTGTAGACCCCTCCCTAAAATAAAAAATCAATCAATCAATCAAATAAAAAATAAAGACTTTCATTAAATATCTTGCTCTGAAATGTATTCCTCTGGAAGAAAAGATGAAAATCTTTTTTATTTTTCTGCTTGCCCTGTAAATGGGTTTGGGCATGGTTTCTCTCTTATTCTGCATTTCTTCTCCCACAACCAAAGGCCCAGTATCTTTTTTCTTTTTCGGCTTCTTTGCCTCAACCAGCAACACCCATGCAATTTCCTCATGTTTGCCACCACCTTGCCTCACCACCCTCAATTTTCTTCTTAAAACAAATTTCTTCCTTCATTTCTGGTCATACAACCAGAAAGACTATTAGCTCCTTGGTACTAGTACTGATACAACGTCATTTACACATCCATTAACAGATATTTCTGTAACCTCATCATCAACCAATTTTTTTTTTTTTTCTGATGGTATCTAGAACAGAACCCAGGGCCTTACAGATTAGGCAAGTGCTCCATCACTGAGCTACAGACCCAGATCGATTGATCGATCTATCGATCGATCATCGATCTATCGATCGATCATCGATCTATCTATCTATCTATCTATCTATCTATCTATCTATCGAGTCTTGCTAAGTTAAATTGCCAAGGCTGGCTTCAAGCTTGCAGTCCTCCTGCTTCAGCCTTCCAAGTACCTAGAATTACAGGAACACGTGACCATGCCCAGTAATACCTGCCATCTTTTACAAAACAATTCTTTGCCTATCTTTATTTTCACTTGTATAGAAATAAATGCCATATAACTACAAATAAAAGGATGCAGAACAGGCCTGCAGACTGCTCCAAAGGCTATGATGCACAGTACAGACTAAAGGAGAAGCCAGAAAAGAGCCTAAAGGAAAAAAAAATAAATTATATATATATATATATATATATATATATATATATATATATATAAAATATGTTATTTTGAAGGGGGCAGGTTCAGACAGGGTCTTGGTATATGATTCAGGCTCACACTAAACTCACGATAATACTCCTGCTTCAGTCTCCTGAGTGCTGAGATTATAAGCATGTGCTACCACACTCAGCTCTATATTTATATATCTTTTTCTCCCCTTCTCCCAGGGTTGGGGATCAAAGCCAAATAGAGAAGTATTCCACCACTGAGCTATACCCTCAGCCCTCTACTTACAGTTTTGAGGAATTAGCATGACTGAAAAGGATATCCACCAGTGGAGTTTCCTGAATGCTGAAGCCATCATCAGAGTCTCCTGAAGTGGGCTGGTCTTCCATCTCTGAAGCATACTCTTCACCCTGGTCTTTTCCTCTACATTCTTGCTGAGCCTCCCCCTGGGAATTCCAAGAAAATTTAGAAAAAGATTGTTACAATTTGTGTCTAGTTGTCCCTCCAAAGCCTCATGTAGTCATGGGGTGGACTTTTAGAGTTTATGTAACTCATGATCCAATGCTGGGATTATGGATGTGAGTGCTACAGCCGGTCTTGGGCAGATAGCCTGAACACAACATAAGGAAGGGAGAGAGGCTTGCCTCTGCTGCTGCCCCTGCCACTGTTCCTGCCTTTTTTTTAAATTTATTTTATTTATATGTGTGTGTGTGTGTGTGGCCAGCTCAGCCCGCCTGGGGGTGGGGCTGGGGCTGGCTGGCATGTGGTGCTGGGGAATTGAACCGCGGTCCCTGTACTTTGCTAAGCTTGTTCAAAGTAGGTGCTTTAGACCACTGAGCCATCTCCCCAGCCCCTGTTCCTGCCTTTTTGCTCTTGCTGTTTTGCTGTTTTCTGAGCCAAGAACTGCTTCCCTCTGTTATGTGCTACTCTGCCTCTGAGCTAGCTAAGTATGAACTGAAACCTCCACAAACTGTGAGTTAAATAAACCTTTCCTCCCTTAACTCTAGGCATGGGATATTTTGTTCCAGCAGTGAAAGAAAAGTAACCGAAAATATCGTATAGTCTCCCTAGTATAAGAACTCCAAAGAAGAAGTACAAATAGAAAGATATAATACAAGTAAAAGGAAAGCAGGATCTCAAGAACTAATCAAGAGAGGGAAAGGAGAAGAGCTAGGAAACATGACAATGTTAAGCCAT